CAAACCATAAACTGTTTAGATGTATGTTAATAGGATTGTATGGAAAGACTAACTGAAAATTAACCCGGTAGAAAACCCTAATTGTGCAAAGATAATTAACTGAAAAAGCACACATGCGCATGCTCACTCTTAGGGTATGCCTCACTTGGTTGCCTCGGAAAATAATGGTCATGTCCCTCGAACGTATGGATACCCTTAGCAAAGACCCTCGGTTAAAATCATCATAAAGATCATGGTCCCTCGATGTCCCTCGAAGTTGCCTACGGTATATGATCTTGTCGCTCGATGTTGCCTACGAATATATGATGACAGTCCCTTCGAAATGCTAAGGTATCCTTACATGTTGCCTTCAATGACCATTTCATCCCTTTCGATAGTCCCTTAAACATCCAACGACTAGGGTTACCTACTCACTAATAGTAGGATAACACGGTCTAAAGGATAGGAGGAAAAGAACGCCTTTTTTCGAGTAGGTAGATAACTGTTAGGTACTTGCTCAAAACAACAAATCTTTTACACCATACACTTTCAAACAAACTTCCCAAACAAAGTTTTCAAAAACAACTTCGTAACACTCTTGAGGACAGAAACAAGGGTTAAAACGAAGTAAAATAAAACTTTTCAAAACACACACACAAGCAATTTTTAAAAGATGAGCAAGTACCTAAGAGCCCATGGAAAACCATGGATAGAAAGGGTGCTAACACCTTCCCTTTCTATAATCTACCCCCGTACTCAGAAACATCTCGAAAAAGGTTTTTTCTGTTCTTTTTCCTTTTCCTTTGTTGGATGAAATGAAAGTCGGTGGCGACTCTTGCTTACTGCAACATTTTGCGAACAAAAAACGCAAACCAGTATAAACAGTCGGTTCTGCCACTGTATCACACCCGTCAATTCTCAAGCCCAATCGAAGGCTACTCATACCCATTCCCTAACTCAATCGAAAGAAGGCCAAAGAAGAGTGAATCAAAGGAGTCCATGGCATGGATCGAAGAAGTCTTTTCTCTTCTTTATTTTTACTTTTTACTTGTCTTTCAATTTGGTTGTAATAGCGTAGGACCTCTATTTTCTGCATTTTTTACTGCTTTTCATATTAACTGCTAGTAACTAGGCGTGTATGAAAAGACTAATAATCAAATGTTAGCAAACTTAACAAAAAGACAAAAAAAATAATTGAACATAACACACTTTCACATATACACCTCTAAGGTACGCCCACTTTGGTTGCCTTCAAAAAAACACTCATGAGGTAGGAACACTTTAGCAAAGACCTGTAAAATCAAAAGATCATAGTCCCTCGATGACCCAACAGTTGCCTTTTCGGTAAAATGATCTAGTGCCTAAAAGAAAATTTCTAAAGCGTCTCCACAAATTTCCTTCTTGATTGTAAAACATCCCTTTCGAATGTCCCTAATACATCCAACGATAGGGCTACCTACTCACTAATAGCAGGATAGCGTTGTTTAAAGGATAGGAAGAACAGAACGACCCTTTTCGAGTATAAAAATAGATAGTTGTTAGAAGTATGCTCCAAAAAACACTTTTTGCACTTACACAAATACTACTTTTCAAAAACAAGTTTCCAAAAAAACATTTGCTTTGTTAACACTCTTGAGGACTGATACAAGAGTTAAATGTAAAGCAAATCGCCTCACTAAGGCATTTTCCAAACATTTTCAAACGCGCAAAGTACAAAGGTATTTCAAAATGAGCAAACATCTAAGAGCCCGTAGATAACTACAGATGGAAAGGGTGTTAACACCTTCCCTTTCCATAATCTACCCCCTTACTCAGAAAACTCTTGAAAAGGTCTTTTTCTATTCTTTTACCCTTTCCTTAATTTGGATAAAAGAAAAGTCGGTGGAGACTCTTGCTTACCGCGATATTTGCAAACACAAACGCAAAACCAGTATTAACAGTCGGTTCTGCCACCGTATCACATTATGCAACTCGACCCTGATGAGGGGGTTAGTTGTAGAACTCAACCCTGATGAGGGGAGTAAGTTATAGAACTCGACCATGATGAGTGCAGAACATTATAGAACTCGACCCTGAAGAGGGGAGTAAGTTAAAAAAACTCGGCCCTGAAGAGGGGAGTAAGTTATAAAACTCGACCCTCAAGAGGGGAGTAAGTTATAGGACTCGACCCTGATAAGGGGAGTAAGTTATGGAACTAGACCTTGATGAGGAGAGTAACTTATAGAACTCGACCCTGATGAGGGCAGTAAGTTATAGAACTAGACCCTGAATAAGGGAGTAAGTTAAATAACTCGACCCTGATGAGGGAAGTATGTTGTAGAACTCGACCCTGAAGAGGGGAGTAAGTTGTAGAACTCGGCCCTGATGAGGGGAGTGAGTTGTAGGACTCGACCCTGAATAGGGGAGTAAGTTGTAGAACTCGATCCTGGTGAGAGGAGTAAGTTAAAATGAATTTGCGAGAGGCGAGAAGTACGCTTCGACTTTTGCTGAATTAGAGCCCCTTGTATGGTTGGCTGAGTAGGCCCAGAGTCTTAGCGAGGGTGACTGAGTTTGCGAGATGCATTAAGTGCACTTCGACTTTTTGCTGGATTAGAGACCCATTGTAAGGTTGGTCGAGTAGGTCCAGAGCCTTAGCGAGGGTGACCGAGTTTGTGAGGGGCATTAAGTGAGCTTTGACTTTTTGGTGGATCAGAGCCCCATTGTAAGGTTGGCCGAGTAGGTCCAGAGCCTTAGCGAGGGTGACTGAGTTTATGAGAGAAGTTAACTGCACTTCGACTTATTTCTAGATCAGAGCCCCATTGTAAGGTTGGTCAAGTAGGTCTAGAGCCTTAGCGAGGGTGGCCGAGCTTAAGAGAGTCGTTAAGTGCGCTTCAAATTTTTTTTCGGATCAGAGCCCCATTATAAGCCTGGCCGAGTAGATCTAGAGCCTTAGCAAGGGCGACCAATTTTGCGAGAGGCGTTAAGTGTGCTTCGAATTTTTCCCAAACTGAAGCCCCATTGTAAGGTTGGTTGAGTAGGTCAAGAGCCTTAGCGAGGGTATCCGAGTTTGCGAGAGGCGTTAAGTGCACTTCAACTTTTTGTCAGATCAGAGCCCCATTGTAAGGTTGGCCGAGTAGGTCTAGAGCCTTAGCGAGGCTGACCGAGTTTGCAAGAGGCGTTAAGTACGCTTCAAATTTTTTCCAGATCAAAACCCCATTGTAAGGTTGGCCGATTCGGCTTGACCGTTGGCTTCAGGATGTTCCACTGATGTGAACCTGTTTTGGATACCCAAGTCACTAAAGAGTTCCACCATGTCCGAGCTTGCAAACTATGTTTTGTTTTCAGACACTATGATTCTGGGAAACCCGAACCTACAAATAATGTTTCTCCAATAGAAGTGACATACTCTTTCGGCGGTAATATGTGCTACAACCTCAGCTTCTACCCATTTTATGAAGTAGTCGACAACCACAATAAGGAATTTTAACTGTCTGGGTGTTGTGGGGAATGGTTCCAGTATGTCTACTCCCCATTGGTAAAATAGCCATGGGGAGAAGATGGAGTGCAGTAACTCGATCAAGGAGTGTATGAGTGGTGAGTATACTTGGAATTTTTCACACTTGCTTAGGAATTCAACACAATCTTGCAACATTTGAGGCCAATAGTACTCGGCTCAGAGTATCTTCCTTGACAAGGCTCTTCTTCCAATGTGGCTTCCACATGCCCTTTTGTGGACCTCAATCATTACTAAGGTAATTTTTGCTTCTGTCACACATCTTAGCATGGGTGTGGATCTCCCTATTTTGTGTAGTTTGTCAAACACTATCAAATAGCGAGTGGATACCTTTTTTATCTGCATGGCTTCGTTGGTGTCCTCGGGCAGGATCCCGTATGTTAGGTATTGTATTATCTGGGTCATCCAGCCGGTGATGTATTCGATTGACATGGCCTCTTCTTGCTCAATTCTTGGTCTTTCTAAGATCTCATGTATCACAGTTTTGTTTAGTCCCGGTTGTCATACCCCAAATTTATCCTACCTTTTAATAAAATCATCTGGCTTATGCATCTAATAATCATTGTGTACATACCCTCCATTAGGTCATCTAACACCTCATGCATTCACTAACAACAAGGCATGATTCGGATCAGTGGTCATGGGGTCAGGGTTTCAGTTGTGTATTAGGGTTTCTATATCTTTTGCAAGTTTATCTCAACTAAGGATGAAAATATCGTGGATTAGGGTTTATCCCTTGTGCTCAAGGTTATCGGATGAATATTAAAAAAACTTGGTTATGCATCACCAATGGACTTCTTCTCAACATTTTGGCCCTCTTCATCATGTGGGGTGAGATGCTTCATCACGGCGTTTGCATTTTTCATTAAAATTAGGGTGTATTTCCCTATGTAGTACATAAACATAAGCATGATAATCAGATGGTTTTCAAGGTCTTGTCTTCGTTAAGACCTCAATATTAAAGTTTCGTTGCTCACATTCATTCACTCATAATACAAGTTATTCATCAATTTACTTTGCTTAGCACCTGGATTACATTTGAGGTACAAAAAAGAATAATTGGAATTTGGGGTAAAGGTGGAATTTCATTCAATTGGATTCAAAGTTGACTAAATCAGAAGTCATTACAAGCTGCTATGGAATATAAGTTATAAGATATTACAAGAAGCAATTACAACAAAAGGAAAGTTGATCAACTTGTTTCTCTCATTTCTAATGGAAAACTCACGAAGCCTTTTATTGAATGTTTGGTTCATATGATTTGCTCAAGATACAAGAGCATCACTACAAATATATATTACAAGTCATATTTTGAAGACATAAAGTGGAAGAGCATTGATTTGGATAAGAAAAGTTTATTGAACATCAAGATGTTGCAAGCTGCATCCATTTCAAATACATGAAAAAAAACTACACAAATTTATGTCCTAAGCCTAGTTCCTAAAAGTATAACTTCACCCTTCCTTTCCATGCTTCTTCATCTTCAAATTATCACCTTCATGACAAACTGCTCAAACTTAGAATAACCATGCTTTCAACTGGGTACAAACTTACAAAACCAGCAGCCTTGAGCATCACCTATTTCATCAACATTAAGCCAATTAAACATGAATTCAACCCAAGCTTCATGCCACAAAATACAATGCAAGAAGTCCAAGCATTCTTTAAAACTTGCATTCCAGAACAAATTCACATCATTCCATACCATCTAAACCTACAAAAAAAACTATTAACACATTCAAAAAACAGAAGCAAACAGTCCATTCACTGAAAGGTTTGCAATTAAACTTAAATGTTATTACAGATAACAATCTCAAAACCACTTTCTTGTATAAACAGAAACGCAAATGACGCAAATAGATCAGCATGACATTACATAAGAAAATCATCAACACAAGCTAAATACACATACAACGGATTCAAGGACACCCAATTCAGATACAATGTGGCAAGGGATACGTGCAATTCAATTTATGTTCAAAACAAGTTCTAAAACAAGTTCAGTTAGGTGCATATCCTAAATCATGTGGAGACTCGAGGATTGTATCATTCAAGAGTTGTACCTTCAACCTAAGTTTCAACACTAAAATCCCCCTTTTACTAACAAACTTGTTTTAACATTCACATCCAACTAATTCCTATTTTTAGTCACTAACAGTTTTACCGAGCAAGTCCTCTTTAATTTTTATCCAGTTGCTGATGTTTTATAGCATAATCAAAACTAACCATGGCATAATCACGAAAATAGTTCGCTAAACAATTAACTAACAACTGCATTCATAACTAACCATAACAGAATTTTCAGTTAAGAACTAACTGAAACTAACTCTAACCGAATCTCAATCACCTCCCATAACTATTTTCTAACTTCCCTAAACTAACATTAACAGATTTTCACTAATTCCAGCTCATTACTAACTAAAATAACAGAATCTCAATTTCACAACTTACTCCTAACCGATTCAATCCCTATCATTGATCTTCTAACCAACTCTCTAATCATCCAATGGTCCAAAACAAATCAAGCTCCAACTGAATTTCTAACTGCTTCAGCTATATAACAGATTCATCACATTCAAACTCACTTCTTCATCCACCATTGTTTCTTCAAGTTTCAGAATACTTTCTCTCTCAACCATTTTTCCTTTTATCCGTTTCACACGAACCACTCATCATTTTCTCCCATCAACTTCACCTTCAACCTTCATCTCTGAACCTTCTCCCATCAACTTCACCTTCAACCTTCATCTCTAAACCTTCTCCCATCAACTTCACCTTCAACCTTCATCTCTAAACCTTCTCTCAACCAGAATAACCATCCTTCAATCTTTGTAATGCATCAATGCAATCTCATCAAGCATCAACGCCTTCTACAACAACCACCTCACACTCTCTGCAATACTGTGTTTATTTCTCAGTATCTTTGTTATTTGCAATCAGAAGATTTGTAACAGAAAACGGAAAGATCGAGAAAAAGTAGCAGAAGAAGAAAATTGAATCAGATGAAGAAGAAGAATGAGTTCAAAGGAAAAGAGGAGTGTTCGTACCTGAGAATTCAAGACTCGTTGGGTTTCTGCTGGTGTCGTCGCCATTGAAGAGCCGTCGGAGCTACTCCGGAAGGTAAGCTCCAATCTCCCACATTTCTTCGCCTTTTTGCATCAAGCTTGTTACCACATCATGCGTCTTGGCTTGCTGAATAATTCCCCTAACACCTCAAACTTCAAGTCGGCACCGTTATAGTTTAATTTCAGTTTAAAACTCCTAGGGTTTTCTGTTCGTTTAGATTTAGAAAATTTGAGGAGGAATCTGAAAAGCAGAGGTGATATTTGGAAATAGAAGGAAGGAACGAAGCAGTTGGTGGCCGCAGATCAAGTTCCTAACGAATGTAGGTAGAGGTCGCAGTGGCAGGTTGGCGCAGGCGAAAAGGGAGGGAAGTCACGCTTTCAAATAAACTTGAAGGGTCACAAGACCTACCATGTTGTAACGATAACGCTTTGACTCTTGCTTCAATTTCCTTTTAATTTTGTTTTATCAATATTAATACAATCCAATAAATAATCTGAAAAGTGAATAAAAATTGGTGATGGTTGAGGACTTGGATTGGATCTGATGATTCCTTGAGCTTTTGCTGCTTGCACCTCTCCCTTTAGGCCCATACCTCCATTTTTTGTAAACCTAGAACTTTGAACAAAAAACCTTTTTGATGGGCCAACTGAGCCAAGCCCAAACATTTTCTGGGGTTTGTCCAGACCTGCTGCTGGTCCACACTCCCAGTCTAACCATACACCCCTTGTAGAATTTTCTTAAATTTCTTTTTTAATCTTTCTATTCATAATTTTTTGATAATAAAAATACTTGATAAAAAACATTAAAAATATTAGAGTTTTAGGATTTTTTTAGAATTTAATTGAACGTCTTTTTCTATTAATTCTTTCTTTCCCTTCATGATTTTCTTTACCATTTTTCATGCTTTTGGTGCAATATTTTGATACTTGTTGCTTGATGTTTATACTTGCTTGTATGTTCTTAACATGATCCCTTAGGTGATTTTGGTTCAATTGTAATCTTTAATTAAATTTAATTAATTAGACCTTAGGCTTTAAAACCAAGCATGACAACAATTAAGTAGAATTTCTCCGTAATCCAAACTTTAGGACCACCATTGCATGTCAACATTAGGAATAGAATTTTCCTTAGATTTTGCTTCCTTTTGCATCCATTAAGACTAAAGCTTTACTTTTTAATCAAAACTCCAAAAACACTTAATCATACTTAAACACTTTCTGCAATAACAAAAACATAAACAAATCAAACGTGACATCTTGCCTTGAGGGTGTAACTCAAAATCGTTTCAAAAGGGTTCATCACCCATAAAAACACACAACAAATAAAAATCTTTGAGCCAAACTACGGAGCTCTGATTCCTTAAAAGGGATACGTAGGCATTAGGTTGCATGGCCTAAGCGAGCACAACTATTTAAAACCTTTGTTTCCCCTGTATTTTCCTTAAGCAAGTCATGCATGCATTCCCTTAGTAAGTAAGCATTAGATATAACACACCCTTTGATTATAACAACAAGAGTGGATCCCGTGGAGTACCATGAACGTGAGGGGTGCTAATATCTTTCCCTTGCGTAATCGACTTCCGTACCCTTTCTCTTGGTCGCAAGATCATCTTATCCTTCCTTTTGGGGTTTTCTCGATATTTTACCTTCCTTCGGGATAAATAAATTTTGGTGGCGACTATGTGCTTTTCGCGGTGCAACACCAGTCCCTTGGTACTGTCGAGTCAGACTAGTACATTGGCTTGTATTTTCTCTTCTCCGGGGATGTGATTAACCTCAAATTATGTGAAGGTTTTTGACAGCCCATGCGCTACCTGGATATATTTCAACAGTGTTGAGTCCCTCATTTGGTACTCCCCTTTCATTTTCCCTACAATCAACTGTGAATCTGTGTTGGAGGTTAGATGAGTGATTCTCACCTCTTTATCCAATTTCATCCCTGCTATGAGGGCTTCGTATTCCGCCTAATTATTGCTAGCCTGAAAGTTGAAGCTTAAGGAGTATTCCAATTCAAAGTTGTTGGGTCTCTTCAAGGATGGCCCTGGCCCCACTTCCTTTGAGGTTGGACCCACTAGCTTGTATTTTCTTCGGGTATTGGTTCACTTAGACCCACTACGAAGTCGGCTAGTGTATGTGATTTGATGTTGGTTCTCAGAGTGAATTCGATATCATATTCCGACAAATCTACAGCCCATGTGACCATCCTTCCGGCTAGATCTGACTTCTTTAGTATTTGCTTGATGGGGTAATTAGTCCTCGCTGTTATTGGCTGACCTTGGAAGTAATGCCTTAATTTTTGGGTTGTTATTATCAATGCTAGTGCCAGCTTCTCAATCTTCTGGTATCGCAGCTCAGCTCCTTTCAGAACCATGATAACAAAGTACACCGCTCTTTCCCCATCTTCCCCTTCTTGTACGAGTATTGAGCTCGTGGCTTTCTCAAAAACCTCCAGATATAGGATCAAAGGTGCATTCTCTTCTAGTCTCGTTAGGATTGGTGGAGAGGACAAGAAGTGTTTCACTCTTTGAAAGGTTTCCTTGCATGTTGTTGTCCATTCAAATTCCTCTGACTTTCTGAGGGATGTAAAGAAATGGATCGCCCTATCCCCAGATCATGATAGGAATCGGGACAAAGCGGCTAACCTTCTCGTTAGTTGTTATACCTCCTTTTTTGAAGACGGGATACACATGTCTATGATCGCCTGACACTTGTCTGAATTGGCTTCTATCCCACGTTTACTGAGCATGAACCCCAAGAACTTGTCTAGGTTGAGTCTTATGTCGTATTGTCTTATGGATGTGAATGTTTCTTTCAAGTCGGTTACATGTCGTTTTCCAATAGTGGTTTTGACGACCATGTCGTCTACATACACATCCAGGTTCCTGCCGATTTGGGTGGCAAATACCTTATCCATTAATCGCTAGTAGGTGGCTCCCGTGTCCTTGAGACCGAACGAAATCACCTTGTAATAGTAGTTGCTCCAGTTCATCATGAAGGCGGTCTTTGGTGCATCTGTTGGGCTCATGCAGATTTGATTATAAACCAAGTAGGCATCCATGAAGCTGAGGAGCTTATACCCTGAAGTTTCGTTAATGAGTCGATCTATTTACGACAATGGGTATGGATCTTTGGGACACACTTTATTGAGATCTGTGAAGTCAACATACATGCGCCACTTTCCTGTTTTATTTTTTACCATTACCATATTGGCCAGTCAGGTAGGGTATTTGACTTCTATGATGAAGTCAACATCGAGTAACTTCTCGACCTTGTCTTTTATGGTCTTCTTCTTCTCTTCTCCGCCTTTCCTCTTCCTCTGAGATACCAGTTTGGTATCCGAATTTAAGTCTAGGTGGTGGCACATGAAGTTGGGGTCTATCTCGGGCATATCCGAAGGTTTCCAAGCAAACAAGTATCCAATTTCTTTCAATAGCTCAACGATCTATGTTTCTTCTTCTTGGGAAAGATTATGCCTTATGTAAGTTATCTCGGAGGGTGTGGTGCCGATTTGGACCCTCTTTATTTCATCATGGGGAGAAAGGCTTTCTTCTCACGTAACATCTTGAGGGTTTATATCAATCATGTTGATTTTCAGCTCATTGGATCGTTCGGACCCTTCATATTGTATCTTTTTTTTAACTCCAGGCTATCCTTATAGCATTTCCTGGCCAATCCTTGATCACTTTTGACCACCCCAACCCGGTCGTCCTCCAGGGGGTATTTCATGGTGAGGTACATGGTGGATATAGTGACTTCTAAGGAATTGAAGTAGGGTCTCCCTATGATGATGTTATAGGGTGAGGCAGCATTGACAATCAAGTATATTACTCTGACAGTTTTAGCATTTGTGTCGCTTCCAAAGGTAATGAGTATCGGGAGGTGTCCCAATACTTGTACTTATTCTCTAGAGAACCCGACCAAGGTGTCGTTGAAAGCTAATGGCTCGGATGTATCGAATTTCGTTCCCTCGAAGGCTTCCCAGTAGAGTACATCATCTGAGCTACCAGGGTCTACCAGCACCCTTTTCACACTCCAGTCTTGGATTTATACCTTGATGACCATAAAATCGTTCTCGTGGGCCATAATGTCGATCACATCCCTCTTAGAGAACCTAATCGGGTTGAGGTCTTGCTCTTGGACCTTGGTTATGTCCTCGGATACATGCATTATGGTACGAGAATACTTCTTTCTGGTTGAGCTAGTTTCGCCACCGCCAGTGAATCCTCCGACGATGGTGTTGAGGGTGTGGCGAGCCATCTTGGTCTCGTGCACTTCTTCAATACCCTATCCCTTCTTTTGGGAGGGTTCCTCTGGGTTCGTATCTTTTTGCCGAGTATTTCTTTTTCCAGCTGAGGTTTTGTGATAAGTGTGTTTTATATCATTTTATGATTATGTTTTAGTCGCATTTTCATTGTATTTTGTCTATGTTTCTTTCCTTTTTCTACATTTTATGCCTTGGTATTGTGTTTTTGCCATTTTAAGCTTTCTATGATCATACCGGAGGGAGAGAAAATCAAATCGGGTGAAAATCGAAGAAAAGCGCGAAGATCAGAATTCTCTAGTACAAAAAACAGAGCTCCATTATGGGTTCCCGTAACGTACGTTACTTCCTGTAATGGACTCCATGCTTCAACGTCCCTTGCCTCCACTCCCAGTACAAATATCTACGCTCTATTACGGGTGCTCGTAACATACATTACTGCCCATAACATGAGTGTGAAATCCCCCCTTTTGTTTCCTTTCTCGGCCTATTTTGTCTTCGGTTTGGGATTTTTGCACATTCCAATTTAGGTTAATTCTGGTCTTAATGAACATTGATCTGAGATATCTGCTGGTGTAATGGCTATTAATAACATAGATTTATTCCATGTTTAGAATTTGAATATAAAAACTCATAGTTAGTCTTGAGTTTTGGATCCAATTTTTATTCTAAATTTTCTTTTCACGCTCTGTAACTCAAGTCTCCATTGGAGCACCAGATCAAGGTTATTGTATTAATTCAGATTTTATTTTATTTATCATGTTTTCTT